AACGGGGCCACTGCGTTAGGCTTAAACAGAGCACACGAGGGAAAAGGCAACATGCCGCATGTATTGAGAATATAGCAATTAGCATATGCTTTTTAGTTCTATGTATATACACATACATTATGCACATAGTTTTGCTAGTTGATGTTTATAGTGATTAGTTTGAAGTTTGGATTAATTTAGTGGCCAGCCAGATTGGTTGCAGAGGGGAGCCGGGCTTTGTTGGTTGCGATTTGATGCTTTTGGAGTAGTGGCAAGATAAAGCCAAAGTTTTATGGCAAAGCATTTTGTTTTTATAGTGTTTTTTTAAGTTTATGGATTTTGCTGTGTTAGTTTGATTGGTTATTTTTTAATTGGTGTTGTTTTTTGATGGCTTAAAATATTTTTGAGAGGATTATTTTGTTTGGTTTTGATTTAATTAATTATTTTATGTTTTAAGGGTGCTAGTTTTTTATCTTGGGGTCATCAGTCTGCCCCTCCTCAGCCATGGGTGTGCATTGGTGTTTTTGAGTCTTTTCAGTTTTCTTTACTTTTTTTATTTTAATTTTTTTTGGCCATCTGGCTTCAAAAATGGCCTTTACACCTTATTTTTCCCTGATGCATACATTCCTCATTCACACAAACAGTTCTTTGCAAAGACCTTCAAAACGTAACACATAGCAGTGTTTTATGTTAAACAAAAAAGGCATCATAAATTAGACCTTACTAAATTTTGTAACTGTCCTTTCCCACATTGGAGCCTGGGCCTCTGAAATTTTTCTAATTTAATTAACATAGACACAGACAAAATCCTGTTTGTTACTTACAAGGCATAAAAAGATAATCATAGTCATAGAATATCAGGGTTGGAAGGGACCTCAGGAGGTATCTAGTCCAACCCCCTGCTCAAAGCAGGACCAATCCCCAACTAAATCATCCCAGCCAGGGCTTTGTCAAGCCTGACCTTAAAAACCTCTAAGGAAGGAGATTCCACCACCTCCCTAGGGAACCCATTCCAGTGCTTCACCACCCTCCTAGTGAAATAGTGTTTCCTAATATCCAACCTCGACCTCCCCCATTGCAACTTGAGACCATTGCTCCTTGTTCTGTCATCTGCCACCACTGAGAACAGTCTAGATCCAAGTGGCTAATACTAGTATTTACTATTCTATTTATTTATTTTAATACCTTAATTTTTACTATAAAGCCTACATTATATAGCCAAACCATAACCAATGAGCTAGCACAGTACCCATGGTCCAACAACTGGAGATCCGGCAGTGAGCGTGAGATGCTGCGTGCAGATGTTAGATCTGGGGATGGGGGGTTTAGTCCAAGTGTTTCACTCTGAAACTGCTTCACGCTGGCGTCAACAGCTGCACACGCTGCAGGACCCGGGCGAGTCAGGCAGAGCCGAGCCGGGTGATGGGGGACCCTCCCGGGCCCTTGGAAGCTCTATTGTCTATTTTGATTGACATCTGACATTTTAAAAAAAAGGCGGCTGCATCTGGCTCTCCTCCCGCGATCCCTCACTTACCCTTTCCCCCTCACACCTGCTCTGACGGTTTGGGAGGAGCTCCCCCCCCCCCCCACCCGACAGATGTGCTGGAGAATGTGTAACTTGGGGTGGAGGTGAACAGATGGTTCGTGGGCCGGCTCTGCCCACATGCCTGCACTCCCTAAGCTGGCTAACGAGTTCCTTTCCAGCCGGACCCCCTGGGTTACCAGGTGATCCAGGGGTTGCTAGGCAGGCTGGAGGATTGAATTCCACAAGGGAGAGAGTCCAAAGGTTGCAGACCCCCCTCCTCCTGTCCTGAATGAATTGGGGCTGGGCACATTGGCATGGGGGGGCCCCCCTCCCCCACATGCTGAGTGGCAGCCCTCTCCCATTGTGCCGCCACACTTCACCCCTCCCGAGCAGCTGCTCAGGTCAGGCCTGGGGCCTTGATCTGACAGACGCTCCCCTCCCACCATGGCGCCCATTTACATACAGGTGGAAAGCAGCCGCTTCAGGCCCGTTGCTATAGAAATGCCCCCGCTATCCAGAGCCTTGCTCACAAAAGGCGCTTTTATTGGCTTCCTTTCTGGGAGAGCTTTGTCCCCGCTGGCTTCAGAGAGCCCTCCCCGCCTGCGCCCCGCCCAGCCCAGCTTTGATTTAACTTCATGTGAATCCGAACTAGGTCAGCAGCCGCCACGGCGGCTTCTTGGATTGTTTTTTTCCAAGCCCACCCGGTTGTTCAGAGGGCGTTTCATTAATCCGGGCTCCTTAACTCAAGTGGCCCGACACGGCTCGTGCACGCAGGGAGCCAGCGTCCCTTTAAGGACCTGCCCCCACAAGGGTTGAAACCTGGCTGACATCAGCTGTATTCAAACATGGCTTAACCCCACATGCGGCCAGGGCCCTCGTCTGTCTGCTGGGGCTTTACAGTCTTGTAGGCTGACAGGCACAATGCGGAAAGTGGCCTCAAATTCTGCGGGCTTCTGTTTTGAGGATGTGCAACTTGTGACCGCTTAGGCCTGAATTTTTGCATATTTATATGGAAAAAAAAACAGTCTTTGGGATGCCTGATTTCCCCCCCCCCAACTCCGTCTGAAGTCAGTGGGTGCACAGCACCCCGCAGGCCCAGATTCAGAGACGCCCGAAATCAATAGCCATTCAACAACCTGGGCTGTTATGACCTCGAGCAGCGCTGGGACTGGAACCCAGGCATCCGGCCTGTGCCGTACTCTAAACCCGTCACCATCCTTCTGTTACACAGCTTCCCTGGCTGGATTGTGGGGCAGGAGGCGTTAGAGGGGATGAAGGGAAGCAGGGAGTTCTGACCCATGGACCAGATCGCTTCTCGGTTGCTTTTTGGAGCTGTCCGGCATGACCGGAGCCGCACCGTCCCCTCTCCTTTCACCAGCTGGGAAGCCCTGTTGGGCCAGATGGCTTAGTCACGGGGCGCGTGGAGTACGGCACTGCTCCCCAGGCTCCTGCTTGTGGCGTGAGCGGCGCAGTGTGAGGAAGGGTGGCGGAATTGGGCCCGGGAGTTAAAACCCCTCCTTAACCTCTCCCTGGGAAGTCAGGAGCACTGTAATTTGGCTCAGACGCAGGCCCTTTCCTTGCCTGACCATGAACATAACACCTGGCTCTCCTCCCTCTCTTCCTGCAGCTTCGAGAAAGCAATTCTGGAATCGGGAAGAGTTGTCAAAGGGTAAGTGCACTGACCTTTCTTTTCCCCCCTCCTCATGGTAAAAATGTGTAAAGCCTGATTTTTATCCTCCACAATCTCTCCTCGCTGTGCTGCACCCCTACGTGCATGCTGAGCCCAGGGGAAGGGACGAGCCCAGCTCCTCCGTGCGGATCAGGCCGTTCGGATTTGATTTCCCGCTTGCGGCAGGGTTGATCGGGTCCCTAACAAACCTCTGGCAGCGTCCAGCTGCCGACGTCCAGCCCACATCCATTGCTGTCCTGCCTGCGTGGCAGAAGGCAGCGGCTGTTTGCCCGCTCGGGAGCTTTTCTCCCAGCTTGCCGTGTTCAGAGCGTTGATCGCTAAAGGGAAAGGCCTTAATGCCGTGTCCAGACCGCTGAGTGGGCAGGGGAGCA